CCAATGAGTGCAAAATATAACTTGCATAGAACACATGGTTGTCTCTTATGTATACCGTCATTTCTTAAACGCAACCCTTGTACTATATATATCGTATTAAAATATATGTACCTATTCTAAGCAATATACATATATATGTTGTGGAATTCATTCCGACGTTTCGGAAATAGGAAACCTTACATATATAGATATCACAAAGATGTACATTTGTTGTTGTTTTTTTTTTTTTATAATTATCCCTTAAAACATTCTTTTATTATTTAGTTTCAATCATGCGATCAGGTCAATGGTTTTTCAGGCGTTCAAAATGTCACCTCGTTGTATTATGGACAGTTTGTAACCCTCACTGAAGATAAATTACAGCTAAAATAGATTTTTGAGAGATTTGTATTTAAGTAAGCTGAAACTACGTGAAAATGGTAAGTGATGATTACTGAACATGTTTCATGTGTCATTATGGCACAGTTTATGTACGGCTAATGACATGTCCAATAACCTAATAGTCGAACAACGTTTCATTACTGATATATATTGATACATCAATGAAATGATGCGAACGAATAAATGGTGACAACTTAAGTTATATATTATTCATATCTATAGATACATCAGTTTGCCTTTTGGAATGAATAAACACATATCATTACGAATTCCTAAATAGAACAGCAAATCACACAAACAAAATCAAGCAAGTAAAAACGAGTTTGTTAAAATAGTTTGCCTTAATAAGATATTGTTATCATTGCAATATATTGTTTCGTCTTATGACAATAACATAAAGTTCTACAACCAATATGTTTATATCTATTTACTTTGTTGTCTTTTAGTGTAAATTCATACACATAAAAGTGCACAGCAAAACCATTTGAGTTAGCTCCCTTTGTATAATAAACATGTGCAAATAAAATTCTTTCGTTAGCAAAGGGTACAGTGCGAATATGGTTGACATAGTTTATATTATGCTCAGATATGCACTTATCTATACACATTATAAACAATTGATTTACATTAATCTATACATCAATACAATATGTATGTCTTAATGATACAATAATCTTGAAATATTTACATTAAAAAAAGCCCAAAAAACCAAAAAAGTACAAATCTCATATTCATTTGACTGTTATGTGAACCAATGAAATTCGCTTTCTGTCGATTCCAGTAAGTATATGTATTCATGGTATGGTTCATGTATTAACATGCAATATAATAAGCAAATGCATTATACCATATCCAATATAAACTGCATTAATTATATCACAGTCATGTGTCAATGTGATTACAAGGACAAATAACTACAATGACGCCATTCTGGTCGATTTTACACAACACCAATACGGTCGTTACTGCCATGATAATAAATCTTTTCTTTTAATAAGGTAAAATTCGGACAGGCATTATTCTGCAGCAAAAGTTCCACGAATATCAAAGTGTTCGACGAGCATGAAGAACCTTGAAATTACTTTCACTGATACATAAATCGAAATGTACATCAAATGACTAGTAGAAGTTTTGAAAATTGATGCATTTGGTCGCGAAATCGTAACATAGGATTCTAAATCATTTGATTCCAAATCAATTAAATGTCCCTGTTGTTTTCGTCGTAACAGCATTGCCTATTTTCTATATCATAGTCAAATCTAACGTTTCAATTCTCATTTATTCTTCGGTAAACAATGATTAAATCTTGCATACGACAAAGATGACCATCTACGACCTACGAATCTCATACCTATGATTCCCTTACTAGTCACATTTTCATGACTGGGGACATCACCATACACTTGTCAGTTATGGCAACGGTTAAATATCGGTTCTTGTGTCCTAAATAATTTTCTCGTAAATGTTTCTGGACATATAGGGGGAAATGAATGACAACTCTCAATGTATTCATTGCAATCTATCACATAGGACTAGGACCACAATTAAATACTTCCGGGTTCAGTACCCACGAATGAAGTCCCTAAAAATGTATGTATATTAGGGAAAAATATAATATGCCTCTTTGAATTCGATGTTTGCCTATAAATTTGATGTAGATGTGTTATAAAGATGATAATCTAACTATCAGTGTGTAAATCATTCATATTGAACATGTATTTTGTGCTGCAGGATCCGATGTATAACGTCCTGATTTCACCTTTACCCCTAACCCGGATGTATATAATTGACGTTGATGACACACATGGAGGTATATCTCCAGAAAATGCCCAACATGATGGGTTGAAACTTTTACATTTTGCTTATCAGATGTTGATCTTGGCCAGGTGAAATGGAAATTTGCAGATGAAACTTTGGGACTTAGTTATGAATTTTAATGTTACAATGAAACATATAGTGAAATTAATTGTGGTCTTAGTCCATAGTCTTGGTTCACTGAAAGTTGAAATGTAGACGCGACTTATTTTGGATTCCGGTACGCTGACCCTGTATGCCATATTTTATAAATCACGAAGATATAATTTGAGTTTAGTTTGTATCGTCTAAGATCCAACTGAAATATATTAGCACCGTGAAATTTAATTTGAAGATTTTAGGGTTTAGGATTAATTAAAAACAGTCACAGCAAGTTTAAGACTGATAGATTATTTTGTTGTACCTCGAACGTTAGAGCAACCAGGGTTCGGAGACCGATTGAACGTCAAACGTTACATACGTACAGGTATAGAATCACCGAAAGATCACATGATATTTCCTTCAATATCAATACCCATTGAGAGATACCTTTCGGGCCAAGGAAATGATTTGATACCAGCTATAATGATTTGTTGCGTACTTGTTGTAAGCTTTAAATAGGAAAAACTGAATCGCTGATTTCAGATCTAACGAATGATGTAACCGGACGATATGATCACGCAGTATCTGTTTTTTTCAACATCCGTTAATGACTTTTGAATCAGGCAGTATCAGTAATAACCTTTCCCCTCAATAACGTAATACATTTTGTTTCATTTTTTAAAAATTTTAAACAACTGAAATATAAACACTAATTATAATCACTCTCATGTTTTAATGGTATGAAAAACGGATGTATGTAATATTATGATAATGCAACAGTGATCTATACACATTGACTATCAATTCCATAAAAAGGCCCACACAAGACAGGTCTTGCATTTATATATTTTAATCGCTCTTTAAATTGGATTTCATTATCAAAGATTTCTGGCATTCAAGTTCATTTATCCATAAAACACAGCCATACTTATATCACATGCATCAAATACTTAATTAAATACATAAATCATATCTCATGCACATCAAAGGGCCAGTTCCAACCACAAACCCTAATATCGGCCCGAGGGGCCGGGGTCCCAAGGGTTGATATGTGTCGAGATTTGATATGGGACAAGGTGAAGAGATATACGTATGTGTCAATAAAAAGTAATGAGACTAATCATTATATACTAAAAAACATAAATCTTGTGTTTCGATAGGTGACTCGTGATTTGGAATTAGTTGTACCGTAATGTAAGATATCGTATATCGTGCGGGGTCGAAGAGAAAACAAGGACAATAAGACCAAGTGTTCCGGAATAGTAAACGTATTCCGATTCATCGACGACACCATCGATGTCTGAAACTACGTGAAAATGATAAGTGATGATTACTGAACATGTTTCATGTGTCATTATGGCACAGTCTATGTACGGCTAATGACATGTCCAATAACCTATTAGCCGAACAACGTTTGATTACTGATATATATTGATACATAAACGAAATGATGTGAACGAATAACTGGTGACAACTTAAGTTATATATTATTCATATCTATAGATACATCAGTTTGACCTTTGGAATGAATAAACACGTATTATTACGAATTCCTAGAGAGAACAAAAAAAAAAAAAAAAAAAAAAAAAAAAAAAAAAAATAAAAAAAAAAAAAAAAAAAAAAAAAAAAAAAAAAAAAAAAAAAAACTTTGTTGTCTTTTAGTGTAAATTCATATACATAAAAGTGCACAGCAAAGCCATTTGAGTTAGCTCCCTTTGCATAATAAACATATGCAAATAAAAATTCGTTCGTTAGCAAAGGGTACAGTGCGAATATGGTTGACATAGTTTATATTATGCTCAGATATGAACTTTTCTTTACGAATTATAAACAAATGATTTACATTAATCTATACATCAATACAATATGTATGTCTTAATGATACAATAATTTTAAAATATTTACATTAAAAAAAAACCCCAAAAAACCAAAAAGTACAAATCTTATATTCATTTGACTGTTATGTGAATCGATGAAATTCGCTTTCTGTCGATTCCAGTAAGTATATGTATTCATGGTATGGTTCATGTATTAACATGCAATATAATAAGTAAATGCATTATACCGTATCCAATATAAACTGCATTAATTATATCACAGTCGTGTGTCAATGTGATTACAAGGACAAGTGACTACAATAACCCCATTCTGGTCGATTTTACACAACAATAAGGTCGTTACTGCCATAACAATAAATCTTTTCTTTTAATAAGGCAAAATTCGGACAGGCATTATTCTGCAGCAAAAGTTCCACGAATATCAAAGTGTTCGACGAGCATGAAGAACCGTGAAATTACTTTCACTGATACATAAATCAAAATGTACATCAAATGACTAGTAGAATTTTTGAAAATTGATGCATTTAGAAGACTGCCACGAGTATACGCGCATAAGTAAAAATATGTCGTTTAAGAAATGGAATTAGCGAAATCAGTCGCTGTGTAGATAATATGTAATCAAAATATTTCTATGTTAAAAACAAAACATGGAGATATTAATCTACATATATACATATATACAATGAATTATAACACATCTAGCCCATTAACTTTGAAATATTCGCCGTAATTTTAACATTATATTTAAAAGTATACAATCATAAATTATTTGGCTCCATTGAACATATCCTTATTGTTATATTTTCATATTTTTTCAAGTCACGTTATATAGATTATAAAGTATATAATTCAAAATTAAAGCTAAAAATGAAGTTTGAATCTACATTGATTAAAAAATAAACAGTAAAAAACCCTTATGTTATAACCCTACATCATCAAGTGTATTTGCCGCCGATTGTATTGTGTACGTTGCAACAGAAACTTGCTGTTTTAACAAATTCCACTTATCCGCCCTTTTGTTTATCTGGATGTCATGCATAGTATCAACCACTCCTGGAAAACTGTTGTCGGAGTAACTATCATATAGGCTAGGAGCAAACATCACATGTCTGAAACATAAAGAAGTGTTAGGTACATAAATTTCAAATTGCATTCATTAGTCAATAAAAAATACGATTAAATATTGAACTTCATTCTCATGTCTTCAAAAACAAAAAATGCATTCTATAGATGATGTTTTTAATGTTGGTATCATTTTAAAGATAAACACAAACTAAACTCACTCCTTCTTTTGAAGATGAATGCTAAGTATCAAATTACAAGAACATTCACATATATCACTGTCAGTAGTACAACCATCGGTTTCTAACTTTCTTCCTATCAGAATGTAAAATGTGCATCCAAAATATAATACTTTTTTATTTTCTGTTTGTTTTTAATTTGAACATACAATGTATGTTACTATTTTCATTTCTCACGATTTAATACGTTCTTAAAAACAGTATTAATAATTAAGATATTGTTATGTTATGACCGATTACATATTGGTAAAATGTAATAATGTGTAACGTAAAGTTTATATATTGAAACTGGTCGTACTCGTTGTATGTTATTTCAAATTCGAGAAATCGGTATTAGCTATAATGATGAAATACAGATTTGCACGTACATAGGTATATCATGATATATGCTATCCAGTAAAGAAATTAATTAGATAACGAAACTAGGTTCCAAAATAAATGTAACTAGCCACATCTGCTATGCAACATGAAGCTTTAAGACTGCAGTTCATGTTACTCTCTCGTCCATGCATGTCTATTTTGTTTCTACCAAAGCATTTTCGTCATGAAATATACAAACAGAAGTAATGACATACTTGTATATTCTTCTGTCCGGAAGTCCCTCTGGGTCTATGAATGCTCGCTCGAATTGGATCATTTTATCATTCAGCATTCTGATAGTCAATGGACTGCAAATATTAGACAGATATGAAAAACTTAGTCATCCAATTCACATAAATCAAGGTGATTTATGTCACAAAAGGATATTTTTACTTAAACATTATGTTTTTACTACGGTTGGTTAAATTTTGTGAAAACCTAAATTTATCACAAAACCCTGAACGATAAGAATGCCATATCATAATAAATTTGTCCAGTTACTTGGCGTAAGAAAAATTCTTATCCAATCCATCTGAAATTTCATATAGTTCTATTACCGTGTGGTAATATATCTACTTTGATGGCTTGCACTTCTGATACGCTACTGTCAATCAATGATAACATATATAATCAAAAGAAGCATACTTATAGAAAGCGATGCATTTTGATAATGATGATTTTCAAAGATGCTGTTTGTCGCCATTATTCATTACTCTTCCAAATCGTGTTTTAATTCTGTATTGAATGGAAATTTTCACAAGTGTGTCTATTTTTACAATCTATGAAATACCTTGCATCTTTAGGAAGAGAGTCTATCTTGATTTTAAATGCATTGGTGCTTGCAGTCAGGTTATTCACAGCAGACTGTAGGGCTTCTGTTCAGATGTAAAAGGAGTTTATTAAGCTGTGCTCGTTTTTCGTGAAAGAAAACAAGAGTAATACAAAGAATACTTGATATTCTACCGTGAACACTTGTGTAATTCACATTTCATTTATTTTAAAGAGGCGAGAATGGCCATCAAAAGGGACATCAAAAATGGAAAATAATGAACAGACACCACGAGCAGACGGGAGAGAAGTTACTATTTTTCTTGACCGCTTCAGGATCTGTTCTTAATACCGTTATCATACTGAACTTTATCCTTTGATATAACCAAGAGAAAGACATTTAAATCCTTAAGAGTATCTTAATAGAAAATAATATGGTTTCACTTGAAACAACATATTGCTTGTTGTACATGTATATTGACCAAACAATAACAATGATTTTAAAACATGTAATCCCTGCTCACCTATATTGACATCTTGTTCTTGCCATACAGAGCCAAAATCTTTTTTCAGACTGTCGACGAAATTCTGTATTGCTGTAGCATACCGTGTAGCATCAAACGGCAGCTTTTCGACATTAGAAAGGTCCCTGGAGAGAAGAAGTAACAATGCTATCGATGTCCACGCTCAATATAAAAATGTAAATATAATTTCAAATGTTAACCAACAAAATATTTAAGTCCTATCTAGAAACAGGATAATCTGGTCTATAGTGAATATATACCACTCGCACACCTTTTAACAGGTAATGAAATACAGCAAAAATTAAGATGGATAACATCTTTTCTCTGTCCACTATTGCCAGAGTGAGGTAATCAAATATTTTCATTCATTGTGGTTACAGAACTTACCATGCCATGATAGCCCACATTTGTGACATAGCTAATGTGTAGTTGAAATTGGGATCAATAAATTTAGTGAACATCTCAAACGTTTCGTATGCGGAGTGGTAAGTCGGATAAGATAGAATGTCCCATCTGTCCTGGAAAACCAATATTAAAGATTAAAAATATAACTTGCTATAGAAGTAGTGAAGAAATGAGTCGATGAAATAGACTAAACACAGTGCATAAAGATTTGCTTTCTGCGTGAAAGGAAATGAATACAAAAAGGGCAGTTTTGATTGAGAAAAAAAATTGATGCAAGTTTTGAATAGGTTTGATAGTGGTTATTGCAGATTACACTACTAACATCGTCATAGGTGAACCACATGTCGACACTAGGGACGCCTGCCCGTTGGTAGAATGTCGCCATATCGCTCCCAGATCCTAGACTATAGTAAACACTGTAAAAACAAAATGTCAAATACTGTAAGCTTTTTTTTCCGAATGATTTGGCGAGGAATACAGAAACACAGCTTCATTGAAGCATGTTTCGCTGTAAGAAAAGCCAAAGTGATGTCTCTTTAGTAGCAATCTTTTTAATCAATTAATTGTATGATTATGTGGGCTTATGGCGATAAAATTATCAGATAAATGTATGTCGATAATATTCAACTTTATCTAAAATGGAAAATGTAGAGAATGTCCGTGAAAGTGTGGAAGCATAAATTGAATTATATGAATAATAAAAACACTTCATGAAAAATTGTTTTACATTAAATATACTTGTACAATATATGTTTTAGAGTTGTCAACAGATATCAACAAGCTTGTTTTCAAGAGTATTTTGCTTTTTAAAATAAACATTACGGTTATGTTTCCACAGATACAAGTATCTCGAAGAAAAGAACATCTCAAGACTCGACACCCACATCAGTAATGTTTTGCTTGAATAGTGAAATCGAAAGAGTATGGATTGTAGGTGTAAAAGTTGTTTCTACACGTGACAGCAAGGAAAAACGTGCTTTAAAGCTGGTAAACTTGTTTTCAAATTGCTCTTGGATAAACTTTTCATTTATGTATTTATCTAAGTACCAATCTATTGTTGTAATTCGATTGTCATATCACGTATGATGCGACTGAGATTAATATCATATCAAATGTACTCCATTTTTATAAATCCATTGTACTGGACTCTTGTTACTCCGTCGATTGTTGCTTAAATCAAATTTCAAAGCGAACAAACATGATGAATTGAGTGTGTTTAACACCTGTAGAGTTACCTACCTTGGTTCTGTACCGGCTGTGTTGGGTAATCGATCGACCCACGCATCGTACAATGTCTTAAACTGACTGTTCTTTTCGGGATTCGGTACCTTTTCAAAACAAAATGAAATTGTTATGGTCACTTATTTCAAAGCAAAGTCATATCATAATATAACACATTTTCGTTCAATTTGTGGTTAATCTTCGTCCAATAATCCATGTGTCCAGGAAATAAACATAGACAATTGACATGTTCAATGTACTTCAAAACAGGTGGATTTCGAGAGATTTATCCACGTACTCAGGTAACGTAAATGCATATATATTTTGCAACGCTGCGAAATCCGAGCCAAGAAAATAAAGATCATTTCACAGTAAACATAACATGTATTAAATACTAAACTAGCAAGACATTAACTTCATAACGTTAAGTTTCTGTTGAATACTACTGATTTCCACGACTTTCAACTTATTCTATGATTAACACGAAAAAAGACTTTATTACAGAATTATTTCGCTCGTTTAATTTTTATCTTTTACAAGTTATACTTGTTACACTCTTACAGCATATGACAGAATATTCCTTACAGGCCATCAACCGCAACCCTACCTTACAATGCATCACATGCAGTTGTACAGTGTGCTGGACGTACTCACCTATCGCACGTCTGCGCGTGCGTTGTGTAGTTCTATCGTACAAATGTGCGATTCTATCGTGGTTAATATAGATCTAGTAACAATTTATAGATAAGTGTGTGATATGATTTGTTTTCAAATATATATGAGTACAATTTGAATAGTTTCAAGGTGCCACACGCGACCAGTCGTATGGAACAGACACTCAATATGCATGTGCGTGCATTATATACGTAAGCATTTAATGGACATCTCTTTCTTCTCAGCAATGAATCATCTAAAATCTCATAACGTCGGAGAGGACATTTATTTTCATCACTTCATTATCATCTCATTTGTCTATTATTCTGTAAACAAAAAACGTAAACTCAGGTAATTTTTAAGTGACGTGTTTGTTACACAGGAAACTTGACCGGTACGTATCCTGACTTGTCAAGTATACACGTATATACACGTCTACAGGTACGTCATGTTGCCCAAGGCACTCCACATGTCACTCTCTGATGTGGGGAACTATACACTTGATAGACTAATTGACTCACGGTCTAATGTTATTTCGAAAACTGTCGAATTGAAAAAAAAAATATATCAACCATTTTCCTATCGCAGTTGTGTGCTAAATACTGTATGGTTCATGTGCACGAAGATGTATGCAGGACGTGTGCACAAAGTAAAATGTTTGATGCGTTTTGCTTGTCACAACTGTAAAACGTGTAACGGATTTGTACCTTGGGCTAGCACAGACGATTAACGTACATCTATTCTTTTCTTGATACCGTCAAAAAGTGGAAAATTGGGAGCGAATGGGTCGCAAATGACACGAATATCGTAGAAGAATTTCTTTTTCGTACCGGACATACCTGTATAAAACATGCCAGAAATACAGACCGAAGATTTCCTGGCTGTAAAACATTAGCAACATGCTTGGTTTTTTTTCAAACAAGTACAGGTAATTTATTTTCATTGTTATCATGTTATAATGCGAATGTTCAATGTAATATTTCCGAAAACATATTTCTATCATCTAGCGATCGACATCGCCATCTTGACCTCATTTGGTATTGCATTTTTTTAATTGCGATGTCCATTTTTTAATCACTGTATGTAATAATCATAGAAAAATAAAAATTATAGATATAATTTGCTTGCTGTGTTTATCGTTCCGTAAACAGCCATAGTCATTTTGAGGCATTTTCTCCTGAACAACGTTCAAGAGGCCCGGCGCGTGCCATCCGAAGCAGCTGGCTTAAATTATCTCGATCAAGGATACAACTGCAAAACCACAGGACGGTTTGGGATCGCTGCTTCATTAGAAACACAATCCATCCCTAACTGGGATCGAACAAACACACCTCCCTCTAGTTTAAACTGCACCGTCCTCTACCGAGTTATGGCGGTCAGTGTCCATCGTCAAGTAAGATCCGTAAGCATGATTAATGATAAAATATGCCTATTCACTGCATTACATGTATGAAATAATGTGTTAAATGTGTTTGATACTATAGATATAAAGTTCCTGGAAGATGGTGTTTACTTATTTCTAACCTACCAAATATACTTACTTGTTTGGCCGACAGGTACAGTGAATCCTGCAGTAGAGGACTGGCACCTGCCACAAGAGTATAAGGATAGTCACAGGCGTAATCCACGTTAAGGTACGCAATGGTACGCTCGTAAAGCACCTTCATGTACTCCTGGGAAAAAAAGGACCAAAACACAATAGAATCGTGTCTGATATTATCTATACATTTCATATTCACATTGTCTTTTATTTGATTTTCTTTACATGTAATACGTATTTATTTCTTGATAAAAACTACAGAATGTTGGACGTAAATAATATTCCAGTTAGAGTCCTCCAAAATAAGCTATAAAGCACAAATGTATACACATACTACATTGAAACGTAAATGGCAGGAAACATTTCTTGTTTTTGAAAAGGTTGATTATTTTTACGATCGTTAATCATAGAAAAGCAAACACTGATAAGACTTTGAATTGGAAGAGAATTACAGGTAAATATCACTCTTAAGTGTTGTTTATAGACCCTGTGATACAATCTACCTGAAGATTATCCCTACACTTCCACGTGGACTCTATCAAATCGCTCCTCAGGTGTATATGATGAACTTATGGTATGGAAGCACAAAACGAGCAACTCAATAATACATAAATTATTCAACATCTGACGGTGGATCATGAAGACCCGAAATTACAATGATTTCCGTGCTCGTTGATATATTTTCTTCGTTTCGTCGATTGAATTCTGCTGACATCTTAAAATTTACTTCATAATATATTCGTTCTATTCAGAGATAAAGAAAAGAACCTTGCGATGTTCCGGCTTTCATAAAAAACAGCGAGTGAACAACATGTTATTTTTGGATAAATCGTCCACGTAGATTATAAAGAATGGCGTGCGCGAACCTGTGCAGTAGCGAGTAATCGGAAGTTTAGATGAGTAGGTAAAACTCCTCAAACTGATAATAATCTTATTGGAATGTAAGATGTCCTTCCGACATAATGTGAGTCATCATAACGAAGGTATGGCCATTAACGTTACATGGATAGAGCAAAAGCCAGAATACATCATTAGCTAAAAGATATGAACAGAAATATAAGACATCCAGAGAGCAAAAGGCATTTTAGAGATGAACGGCAGACTCTGACTTCAAACAACGGTAAAAGGTCAATTTGAAATGTCAAACAAAGAAATATTAAATGTTCACTGGGCTGGTGTTTTTGTTCGGGCAGCACACCTATGTAACGAAAGGCTCTTTATATTGTTGCTGATATGTGTCGCAACGAAATTACGATAATTACTTTGTCTATACACTGTAAAAGATATATGCATGTTATTGTTAATTTGCGCCGAGGAGCGAAAGAACGACATTGCTTAACAATACGAATTATGTTAGGTCGCTAAACAGCGATTTTATGTGTTCTATATTCCAAGTTTCTTTTTTTTCGCAGTATTGAATTGTCTTATAACGAAAGAGTGATGTCAAGCGGAGTAACGATATTAGCGTAAAAAACGAAATGGTAGATGTAAGGCACCACAAGTTTGAGATAAAAAAGTCGCACAGATCACCGTATACAAAATATCCAATCTTCCTGAAATATAAAGAAAGCAATGCTCTCTCACGGGTACGTTTCGAGATGTGTATGGGTATACGTTAAGCACCCAAGTTTTGAAAACTCCATTACTAACAGTTTTATTTTATCAGTTTCATCACCAAATGTTAACTGAATGTATGTAAACAGAAAACAGGACATACCATCTCACTTTACAGAAAACAACCTCAACAGGGAAGGAGGGATTTAACCTCTGACCCATCTACGGTAGACAACTGCGTGGTATCATCCCTACCTAACTTAGCGTAAACGAGTGGAGTGACCAATATGACCAAGATTGACAGCGGCCACTAAGACGAATTAATGAATATCAACACCGCTAAATCTTACCTCTACCCATTCTGTAGAACCTATCAGACCGTGCTCCTCCGCTCCCCAGGACCCAAACACTATGGTTCTGCGGGGTCTTAATCCTTCAACAGATAAGTTTAGAGTATATGTTGTTGCAGAAACAACCTGTTGACATGATATATTATGTATTGAAATAAGAAATACAACACGTGCTTGTTGACTAGTGAAGAATATCTGGACATATTCGAAATTCCATCCTCGTAACATAAATAAATACAGAATATCAAATAGTGTTTTCAGTAATAACAAATTTATTTCACAGGCGTGTCTAATATTTTAGTATCTTTCTAGACTGCTCTTCGCGGGCACTACTCACTTATTATAACTTTGTAGTAAGCCACAAAATATAGTCCGCTTTTTAACAAATCATAAAAAAATGTTAACACAAAAAATAAATGTAAAAACGTTCAGAGAGTTTAAGCTGTGACAAGTTACTACACGGCTGGAAACATGGCGGCGACCTACAGCTGTCGCTGTTGATAACACAAATCCTCTTGTCATGTCTAACGTGTTAGTTTCATATCCAAAATGATTGGTTGGGGGCTGGGTTTGATGTCTGATAATGTCTTTTGTGATACATTGTTTGTTGACTTTCATGGAAATAAAAGTTTACCATGGAATTGAATTTCGTGGTCCTAGTAAGCAACGTTTTCAGGTTTCCGGTTTTCATGATTGTTTGTACGGGGCTTTATGATTTGTCTATTATATAAGATGATTTGTGTAAAAGTGTTTTTTTTTACCAAAAAAGAGGAAAATCTCACTTTTCTTAATGAGATACTTCTCTATATTTCACTGGCAAACATGTAATAAATTGAAATTGGTTATGCTCTTTGTACAGAAAGTGGTTTGTTTTTTTTTCAAAAAAAAAAAAAAAAAAAAAAAAAAAAAAAAAAAAAATTCTCACTTTTCTCAATGAGATATTTCTCTATATTTCACTGGCAAACATGTAATAAATTGAAATTGGTTATGCTCTTTGTACAGAAAAAGAAGTCTTCTTTATTTATTATGCTTTGTTTTGTGATGGTGTAATGAATACGACTGTGATCTCAAGCGTTCCTGAAAGCGGAAACTTAGATAAAGTTTAGTTCATTTCTCTTATGCAGCACTAAAGAACGTGATCTAACGTCATACCAAGTAACATCATATCAGTAATGACGTAATCAAATAAATAGATAAGTGAAATAAGGAACACACCTTGTTTCAGCATGTTTCCCAGTACACGAATGATTTCCGTGAGAGCAGCCGATCCTGAGAGTGGGTCTATTGCCCCGAACACCCAGGAATCGTGGTGGTTCCCTAGCATCACATAACGATCTGTCAAAAAAACAAACAAAAATGAATAGGTATTTTCCAATAGTGAAATTGTTAATCGCTATTAAAGTATGGTGATTTTAAACCCATCATATATTCATTTCTATAACCTTGTTAATCCTTTCATTCACATCCTTATACAACATGATGATACCATCAAGACCGTGTGTCTACTTTGGATTGGGAGTTATATCGTCCAAAGTAAGATATAACTGTAAGAACTGGTACCTGGTTCGATCTCCCCACGAATGTATCCAATCACATTCCTCACTGTCTTTACCTCTTCATAATTATTAACTGTGAGACGGGCCTTTCTGTTGAAAACAAAATCAGAAATTACTTAAAATCTTAATTCAAAATCATAAAAGAACAAGACCAGGTGTTCCGGGAGGAAAACCATAAAATATTGAAAAGAACTGATGTACGTCGACGCAGTGAGGCGTGAAGGCAAAATTGCATATTCATTTACCATGAAACACGAAACGAACCGTGTAAAGAAATTGGTGTATTCTAAGGTATAATGACCAATACCTTGAAGAGGATGACTTCAGATAATGTATTTGTGAAACCGATAAAGCGTCATTGTGAGACATGGATATCTTAGTACGTTTAACACGATAGAAACCAACCTGATATATAAACAAGACTGTTTAAATTTTGTATCAGTTATCGCTGATAGAACAGCTGTTATACTTACACGGAACTGTTTCTAAATCCAGGTCCGAACCTATATGTTATTGGAAGTTTACCTCTCCATGCCATGGGAACCTCCTCTCCTTTCATGCCGCTATAGATCAGAAACAAAACGGATATCAAACTACTGCATCACACGAAATGGTGGTTGGCTACTTTATATCCTGGCTTAAACATAGGACTCTTTAAGGGTCAACACTTTATGGATGCCACATAACTTTACAGTCTAATCTTTTATCCGCTCAACACAACGAATAGTTCACAGTAAACATACTACTAAAAGCTTTTAAAACGACGAGGCTAATAAGAAAAACTAAGATTTGTAAACATATAAATATATAGTTAGGGCGGTGAATTAATTAGAACAGAGAGATTAATAGAACCAACTTCCACTACTGGATAAATTTAAATGAAAATGAAGTATATACAAGTATTCCGCTTAAAATTAGTCCAAAGTAACATGGACGGGGAGGTGCAGTAACCCGATAATTCAATATATTTCGTATTCTTCAAAACTGACTGATCTTAAAAGAACGTCAAGAAGATGTGCATATTCTGAACTGAACTTTTCTTATGAATAAAAATATCGCATGTCAGATAACAGCACGTTTTATATCATCTATTGATAAAGAAGTCCGGCACATCAGCGGGAACAGGATAACTGGTTACACAAGAGTACGTATAATGTTGTGAATTGTGAACTCTCGACAGGAGACAACGGAACACTGTTGAGAGCGTATAATAGGAGGAAGTATGTCACATTAAACTCCACGTATAGAACACAACAGGAAAACAGTGACATGATCATGAATGTTTCAGAAGACACAATTTATGAAACTTTATAATAAATATTCCGTTATGAAAAGGATGCAAAAATGCGTTCATTTTTGTGGTTGCAATATATTCTTGTATTAAAGCAAAAAGGATATTCCAAGGTTAACATTTCTTTTTTTTTTTCGCAATTTTGTTTCAACCTCGAAAATAGCGTAAAAGAGGACAAATCGACAAAAGTAACATTTACAGTATCTGACATAAGCCTTCTCTAAATATAGACATGATAAAAGTACAAGGTTATATTACTCCTCCAGATTTGCAGAACGTGTTGCCGTCAAAGTTTTATTATTACAAGGACGTTGACTGTTAACAGGTTAAGCAAGATGAGGATACAATCAATTGTTCGTTTCATATGAGGAAATCTGGGTCAACTGTTGACCACAAACAGGAAGACATATCTATTTCTAAACAATGTGGTAATGTCTCCACTTGGTACATAACCTGGTGAAAGAGGGGGATTTACCCTGACAAAACGACTGTTCCTGATATACAAAGGTCATTAACACAACATATATTAGGAGGTTCTGTGGGTAAGGATCACATACCAGCCTTTTAATTCATTCACATCTACACGACAGACATGTGTATAACGTTGTCGATACTACGACAAATATATCTTGGAATGACCTTGCGTTTCCTATGATCGTGTAGTGCGCATTATCATATGTTCAATTCTCCAATTATCAGCTTCCTTGTTTGGTAATAATATACCATCATGTTAGTTTTACCATCCCCATTGGTGTCTCCTAGTTCAGAGCATGCGACCTCGACCATCATCCCTGTACTTTAGTACGGTTCTATAATTACTTCTTCAATTTCCAAACTTTTTTCATCAGACATATGAAATTATCAATTTTGTAAAATGAGGATTAAAACAAGTCTAAGAAAGCATACGAAGCGTTTCATAAAAATTTGACGATTTCTAAAACGCGATGACTAACGATTATTTGATGAGCAATGAACATTCAGGAAGTGAAATATATTTGAAATGTTTAATTCTGCTTAAGCCCTCCTCTCTGACTAAGGATGTCCCCGTATTCACTACTTCACTTATCTGGTGTCATTTCCTCCACAGCTTATATGTTTAGTGATGACACCTACTCTTTCCCCTGCTTGTAAACTTATCAATTGACGTCATTGGATAACAAGTACTCGATGAAAACTACGAAGTATAAAACTGTTCCTACCCCAAAAATTGCTGAGCGTCTCCATATCCTATTGGTTGTGCAGGAATTTTAGAATTCCCAATCCAGCTCTCACTTTTGGGAATACGGTAGGTATAATCTTAAAAGAAATGAAAATACAAAAATGAAATGACAGCTTTAAAATAAAGGATAAGTGAGAATCAAAGTTATCATGTAGCAAGACGTTTGGTATGACTTCATCACGAAAAACGTTCTCCACGACATCGCCATACTCTACAGCGTCCATCGCTTATGCTGAGACAAAATCGCGATTCGTCTGTGAAAACTACACGATTCCAGACACGTTTGTGTTGAAATTGACGTTGTGACAAAACCAAACTTGTATATGGCCACCGAGCTTTTAACGAAAAAGATTTCAGCCGTCTTCGAATGAATTGTCCATGGACTGACATTATTCCGAAAATAACGTCGTGACGTCATACAAGATCCCTGAGATGACAACGGCTGATGTACCTGTCCTCGGACGTTTTACGCGGTCGACCATTTCTTGGAAGATCTATTATTGTTCCTGAATCCTATACTTTTTCCACAATTTCACGATTGTCAGTCGTGTTACGTTACGTTTGTCTGACGTTGACTAGGAGCTTCCAAATGCCCTGTTTCTTTGTTTCTTTGTAAGTCGTGGCATGTCTGTATTTATCAATTATCAATGGCAAATTGCCGGTGTACGTCCCTAGTACAGATGTAAGCGCAGGTAACACGATACACACCGTAGCGCGCACTGCACGTGCAATGTTAGAAAAACAGCAACATTCGGTTGAACGTTTTTACGCTTGGATGGTTTTTCGTTTGTTTTCATTTCAGAATATGATTTTGAGTCGGGAATATCATATTTATAAATTATACCAACCTTTCTCTCAATTTTAAAAAGAAAATATATTTTTCGCAAATATACTTACTTTTGCACCTCAGTATATAATGTGTACAACTTTATATCTAATATGATTTATTCGTAGAATTTATGCAAGTATGGACATGATATATATATACACACTTTTTTGTCAGGGGGGCATTGGCTTTCTATTAATTATAGGATAACTCAAAACTTAAGGGACAGATTATTTACAACCAAACTTTACCATATTCCTTAAAGAGGTACAACGTTTATGTTTAGAATATTAAGTCCTATTTCATAAATCAATTCTGTTTATGTTACGACGTGTCCATCACTTTATGATGAGAGAGTAACAGTGGATGATGAAAGTACCTTTAGCTGGATAGAACATGGTCAGCATGTCCCCGTCGGGTCCGGTAGTTCCCCTTTGGACCCCCGTCCCAGGGAGCCACCAGCTATCAGGATATGTTGTATTACCCATGTTAAAGTCAGCTGGGTCAGTATACATTATTATACCAGTCGCATTAAACTGTTGCGCTATTTTCACCTACAAAGATGAAAAAAATGGTTTCATTATCTTAAGTGCAGTTGAATGCGTCATTTTCACAAATTCTGAATAACACACTGAGTTAAAACCACGACACATTTCGTTTAATCCGTGTGAATCATTGAAATTTCAATCCGACTCCTATGATGTTTAAGTATTCCATTCCTTCTTAAGACATATTTCATCATCTACATTTGCCATTACATTTTCGTGAACTCGTCTGATATTTAACACAAATCACTTTTAATGATGTATTCTAATACTGGGCATATACAATATGTCCAGCAGCTTATGCATAATCTCACGAAATAAAAAAAAGAGTCAAACAGAGTAATAATTTGCCATATCGTAGTATATGTACAAACAAATACAGAAAGCATTTTCAGAAGGTCTGTTTTTATGTGAAAACCGAAATTGAAACAAACTGGATGCATTAGACATTTAGGAAAAAAATATAGACATAACGATTCGCAAGCTTTGGCAAAAAGTTTGAGTAAATGCAGAAGAATGGAAAGCATTCAATAAAATACAGGTGGTGCTCGGTCCACGTACCTTATCCCCACGGAAGATTTTTCCATATCTGGCGATAACAATCTTGCCTTCCACAGAGAGAGATTTGTTATCTCGAAGGTAGACAAAGTCCTCAATACGGCCATAATTCACGTATACCAGATCTCCCTGTCATGTGAAAAAATATCATTGTCAATTAGGTCAATTTAAAAACAAAACTTCATCTAAAGTTTGTTAAAAAGACAGGCAATTCCTCTAGTATGATGCTGAAGGAATGCTCTGTGAATGAAAATAAGTTTTAAGGCTTTCTAATGCCCATCAATGAATATCATCTGTGACGTCAGAAGAAGTAATAAATTAACAAGTTCTCTACAGTACCCATAGATCCAATATAACTCTATGTTAATAAACAATGCACTCCATTTTCAGCCCCCAAATAAACCGAACAATCGTGAAGGTACAGACGTAGAAAACGAAATGATGACATTGAGTCAAAATAAAATTTAACCTTTCAATTGTCAATTATAACGTTATAAAAGTGATCGATACATTCAAACCGAAAGCAAAATACATTTTCAACACTGTGGCTTTGTCATTAAATCATTATTCGACAGATGTTAAAGATTAAACCCCACACAATGCCCAGACGTTTACGCAAAGTATGCAAATATTGCGACAAATGATTTTTGTTCTAACTGAATCCTCTTTCACGACGGATGTGTGAAGGAGAAAAAACTAAGTTGTGACAAAGGTTAAAGCAATTATGGAATAATAGAATCTTCCCCTACCCTGAGGGTGTGATAGAGAAATCTCCAGAGCCTCGGGTTAGACTACAAAAAAATCACCCCGAGGGTTGGAAATTTCTCTGTCACATCCTCTGAGGGTAGGGGTTGATTATTTTTCTCCCACCCCATTATTTCTGCCACGACGTAAAAAAAATCCCACGGTACAAGTGTCTGAATGGCGCATGAATATCACCATTCACGTTTCCAAAATTCTACATTCTTCCGCGAGAGCAAAATGACAGACTACAAACGCAATATGAATAACCATTAAAAATATTTATTTTTTGGAAATTAAAATATTTTAATTAGCGATAGATACATGGAAATACTTGTATTGAACAACATTTAACTCCGTATCATTTATTAAGGTAGGGTAGGCTTGCCGCGATGTCATGGACAAAAAGGGGATTTCCCAGTTTATAATGACGTCAATTGTTTATGCGCGCGAAAAATTGCAATGGTGTGAGTGTCACGCGTGTGTTCATTCAGAATTAGAGTCATAGATGATCCTCCAGCGTATATTTGTGTTCACTGGACAAGGATTGTTATAGTTAATGTTAACTGTGATGTTACAGTCGCGCATTACGGAGTCTGCAAATAAAGCATCCACTCGTCGGTTTGAGTCAGTTGTGATAGCCGACTGAGGTCACCGAGTGCAGTCATGTGGGATAGATTTATCCTCCATGGGTGTTCCACATTGGACATATGTATCCTACATGGGCAGAGGTGGGAGAAAGAAATGTCCCTCCTGGTTTTAGATTTACATATTTAGAAATGACGGGAGGCCTTTATTACATATAAGATATACTGATATAGATATTTACAAATAAATTAAAGAAATAGTCACTCGTATACCTCTTGTATGTACAATACACCATAAGCCTTGCTGTAGAGAGAATATCACCTGACGGTGCCGTCAGGAATCAAAGATGGCGGCATAGGAAAGGCTTTGGGGTGCAACGAATATGTTGCTTTATTTACAATGCGTTTTCGTTCCAGAAATGAAATAACATCTAAATTTCAAAGTGTGTCACTAACAATAATTCCGGATTCACATGGAACAGTTCCGAAACAGACAAAAGACATCCACCATATACCAGACCCCGACCATTTTCTAATCATGCTAAATGACATCATAGTAAGTTTTTTTCCATCTTACCTCTGCCACTCCAGCTACGGCGAACGCGTTAAATGGTGGAACAACTTCCGAATTATTACCCTCAGCGTCCAGTGCTGCTTCAAATGTAGCCGCCTCAAATAGGACTTCGTCGGTCTGTGTGAGCAACTGCACCTACAAAAACATCACAAGAATTTTACATATTTTTTCAAAAATCACAGCAACATGTATGGCAACTGGTTGCTATGATATCGAGTATATTCTTGGCTGTGGGAGATTAGTTAAAGCACAGGTAAACATGTTTGTTTATCAATGGTGACTGAATCAGCATTACGATCGGTCAGTCTGACAATTTTCAGTAAGACATACTAACAACTGACCGTATTAGGGTTTGTCCGATTTGGGTAGGACATCAGCACGTCATACGGCGTTACCCGAACCATGTCCAATCCGCTATCCCGCCATTCTTTGGCTATGATATCAACTATTTCGTCACCTCCGGCTGTTCCGGACATGCGCGGTCGACTGGTATATAACCTTTCGGTTAACACAAGTACAAACTTAAATTAAGATCGTATGGAGAAGTACTATTAAGCTGTAAATATGAACAAGAAAATTATATTTGACGAAAATGGACGAAAGAGAATCAAAACACAATTTTGTTTATTATATGTAACTAAAATTGATCTAAAAACGAAATCTTTCAAATGAATGGATGTCGCCTTTTTAAGTAAACTAGACCATGTATGCGAAACATACAGCATACTAATTAAGTCATTTTAAGCTGTTTACAGCATTCAAAAACTTTGAGTTACCTTAAGTATAGAAAAACGTGAAATCCTACTGTGGAACCTTGAAAAATCTCTCGAATTCACTTATAATTACGAGCGGACATAATAGAATATATTACCATTTCACACATGTTTGGAAAGGGCAAATTTTGCAATAGCGACGGATAGGATGGGTTTTTTCACATAGAGTAGCATACCACTGAACATTTTACCTGAGATTCGCTTTGATATTCGCACTGTTTAAACTGGTTAACAGCATATTGACTGCATTTTGGGTTTGTCTGTAAAAGAAAAATATCGGTCACTGGTTTTCTAATAGATCATTTACCTTTCAAGAAACATGATCGATTGGTCCGCGAGGAGAGAGACAGGCACAGATATATTGAAAATATACACCGTATCCCGATTCAGGAAAAAGGAGGGGGAGGGGCTAATAAAAAACAAGATATATCGATGAAGGAAAACACAAGTCCTGAATGATTCTCAAATCTAAGAGTACCGCAGTCATAACGTTTGATTTAGTTATATTGTTTCAGTTTCAGTTTTTTTTTAAGATTTAAAGTTCATTATTTAGTGTGGAAATATCAAAATTCCAAGATTTTATGATGGAAAAACTTCTACTTTTTTGTTTCATCTGTAAACTAGATAATTTTGAATTCTGCCTTATCTGTTGAAACTTTGTTTGTCGGAAATTGTTGTTCTAGTAATAATTGAAATTTCTAAAAATAGTTTTCAATGCACTCAAAACACTCAGAGCCACACGTTCTCCTTACCAGGTACACTGACAACACGTGTATATGTTTAGTGTCCTGAATACTATAGTAGTGCTTGTACTTGTATCGTAAGTTTTGGTTTCCGTCACGAATGACTGACCCATAAACGATCAGCGTAAAGTGCGAGGTACAAGTTAACACGCGAATACAATCACGTGACGCGGACATTTGAAGCACGTGACTGATATGAAATGATTGTATCTTTAATTGGCAGATCACGATTACATAGTCTTTATAAAAATGTTTGGTGTTTTAATAGATGAATACAATACGTACACATCACTTTATCCGACAGAAAACAAGAAGAAAATACTGACATGTTAATAGATTTCGATGAAAGTAGAGGAAAATAAGAGCAAAATGTAGGCAAATAAAGATTTTCACGCGTAAGGACTCTGAAAATGTTGGTAATATACAAGGAGAATAAAACAGTTGTGTAAATCTGCATGATATATTGGCTCAATATTTATATTAAAACATCACTTGGCTCTGTAAAAAAAAAGTAAAATAATTAATTTCGCACAAAAAATAAGTGTTTACTGCCTTGACGTTTATAATTCTCAAAACATGGCGCTGTATAGTATCAAATAACGTACATTCCGTACCTCCAGCATGGAAGAGTTTCAGTCAAGACTTTGGACAATCTTGCCAATTTACGAATTGTAATTGGCGTTACGGCGTATCTTTTTTCTATTTTTTAAGTAAAAGGACAAAAAAAAAAAAAAAGCATTGCGGAATTTGCGGAAATTTAATCAGCTAGTATGTTTGTTTTGGAGGGAATGTTTACTACCAATCGAATTTCAAGTCATCTGCACTCGCAAGTTACTCGAGTCAGATATGACTGAAAGTTTTTTTTAAGGAAAATAACAATATTTATCAGCTGTTTGATTTAGTGTTAATTCACTGTCTCTTTCTGGTACAGAGATACATATACGTTATCAAATAATAAACAGACACATACGTTTCCTGTGTTGAACTGTCGCCGTTGACATGGGCCTGCTCTGGGCTCGATCCCCTAGCAGCATATCCAATCCCAAAACCAACTGCCAGACCGACCACGCCCACAAGCACTGCGCCGAAAATGAGTCGTGAGCGAATAGTTTTCTTCTTGTTGCTGTCCATCGTGTTGATGGAAAGATTTGAAAATCTGTCAAAACACGAAAAAAATATACAACAATCATGTCGTGTCATTTTGAATAATTGTAATCATGCATCTGTGATTTCACTCTTTAAGCCATCATGCCCACATGAAAAAATACAACCTACATTTCATAGTTAAACCTACAACCTAAAAAATACTCTCGGCTAGTCGTGAAAACATGATGTTTTTTTCAAATTATGTAGTTTCCCAAGAGTCAGAAGTCGACCGTTTTTTTCTCTGAAAACTGAACGGTTGTTACTGTGCAAAATCACTTATTCTAACACTAACTACATCCGAAAAGTATCAATACTCCATTTTGAATAGATTATGTTTTGTCCTTGGGTTGAGATTACAAAACAGACCCGGGTGATAAGATAGGAGAATAAAAAAAATTGATTCCGCTAATATATCGCTCTGATTTCTTGTGGGTCCTTAATCCATCATCAGGATATGATACGCGTTATGTACATCGTGAAGCATACGTTTATACATGCAGATGCTGATGTGGTAAATGTGGCGAGTATGAACGAAAATATCCGATTTACCTATCTACTCTGACACCCTATTTAACACTATATACTTGTTGCTAAATCTAGGATAGAGTGTTATAATATACAACAGAAAAAATCGAATCAACACTCCTTGTGACACAATATATCCGTTCGTTTATTAGATGAGATTGGTGGATTTCAACCCGAGAAGAAGGATGATAAAGATAGCAAATACGAGGCTTGTCAAGTGTTTACAATTCAAACATCTTTTCTCGATGAGAGAACACCCAACAAGGGGGTGGATGGTTAATTTTCCTTTTACCTACTGACTTTATTAGGTACTCGTAAGTGTTCTGTATCCCAATGCTTCGCTTCTTTGACGTGTTTACTTGTTGACATGACGTAAGTGAATTGTAACTGTGACGTCATATCAATGTCCTGACAACAAGGATTTGGTACTCGTCTCAACCCTAGGGCGAGACAAGGAAATCTCACTCCGTTAAAAAATCTTTATTTACCTGTTCATGATAAGAGAATTACCTGTCCATGATAAGAGAATTACCTGTCCAGCGTAAGAGAAATTCCTGTCCATGATAAGAGAATTACCTGTCCATGATAAGAGAAATTCCTGTCCATGATAAGAGAATTACCTGTAGAGCGTAAGAGAATTACCTGTCCAGGGTAAGAGAATTACCTGTACAGCGTAAGAGAATTACCTGTCCATGATAAGAGAATTACCTGTACAAGGTAAGAGAATTACCTGTCCACGGTATGAGAAATCTTTGTCGATGTTAAGAGAATTACCTGTCCATGATTTACCTGTGCAAGGTAAGAGAATTATCTGCCCATGATAAGATAATTACCTGTTCATGATAAGAGAATTACCTTTACAGCATAAGAGAATTGCCTGTCCAGGGTAAGAGAATTACCTGTACAGCGTAAGAGAATTACCTGTACAGCGTAAGAGAATTACCTGTCCATGATAAGAGAATAACCTGTCCAGGGTAAGAGAAATCCCTGTACAGGGTAAGAGAATTACCTACCTGTCCATGATAAGAGATTTACCTGTATAGGATAAGAGAATTACCTGCCCATGATAAGATAATTACCTGTCCATGATAAGAGATTTACCTGTATAGGATAAGAGAATTACCTGCCCATGATAAGATAATTACCTGTCCATGATAAGAGATTTACCTGTATAGGATAAGAGAATTACCTGCCCATGATAAGATAATTACCTGTCCATGATAAGAGAATAAGAGAATTACCTTTACAGCATAAGAGAATTACCTGTCCAGGGTAAGAGAATTACCTGTACAGCGTAAGAGAATTACCTGTCCATGATAAGAGAATAACCTGTCCAGGGTAAGAGAAATCCCTGTACAGGGTAAGAGAATTACCTGTCCAGGGTAAGAGATTTACCTGTATAGGATAAGAGAATTACCTGTCCATGATAAGAGATTTACCTGTCCATGATAAGAGATTTACCTGTATAGGATAAGAGAATTACCTGTCCATGATAAGAGATTTAACTGTACAGGGTAAGAGAATTACCTGTCCATGATAAGAGATTTACCTGTATAGGATAAGAGAATTACCTGTCCATGATAAGAGAATTACCTGTACAGGGTAAGAGAATTACCTGTACAGGATAAGAGAATTACCTGTCCATGATAAGAGAATTACCTGTACAGGGTAAGAGAATTACCTGTACAGGATAAGAGAATTACCTGTCCATGATAAGAGAATTACCTGTCCATGATAAGAGATTTACCTGTAGAGGGTAAGAGAATTACCTGTCCATGATAAGATAATTACCTGTACAGGATAAGAGAATTACCTGTCCATGATAAGAGAATTACCTGTCCATGATAAGAGATTTACCTGTCCATGATAAGAGATTTACCTGTCCATAATAAGAGAATTACCTGTCCATGATAAGAGAATTACCTGTCCATGATAAGAGAATTACCTGTCCAGGGTAAGAGAATAACCTGTCCAGGGTAAGAGAATAACCTGTCCAGGTTACAATTATGACGTCGCGTCATCTGCTAGATCCTTGTCTAGTTGGTGTCTATGGAAAAGGAAGTGATCTGTCATCATCTGATTTATTATGATTTAACGACAGAACGCGAGTAAAATCTGCCAAATCGTCATCAGTTAAAAGTTGCTAGACATTATATATCATCTGAAAATTTCATATTCCTCGTCACCGTACATGTATATAATGCATGTAGATGCACAGACCTGTTACAATTGCCTCGTTAAAGGACAAATACTCTGTCAATCATCATAACCTAATAGTAATACTGTAAAAACATTTATTTTCGAGATGGATTTTTTCACCGTTCAATTCGCGGGTCCACGAATTTATATGTCCACGAAAAACTGATAAAAGTTGGCATTGAATAGAGTACTTGTGGATTATGTGAGGTTTTTAAAGAAATCAAGCGCCAACGAAAATGCATATTTTTTAGAAAACCATGAAATAAGACTCTCTCTGAATTCATATATTTTTTTTTTATACAAGAAACAACGGAATTATCAATATAACTGTGCTATACCTGAACTCATTTTAGAAAATGCGGTTGGCTTCTGAAATAAATAACCAGGTGATGAGATATTTGATAGTATACCCATCCGAAATTATAATTTCGAATAATTATTTTTGTAAGATTTTAGTAATACGTCAAGTTGTATTTTGATGAGAGTTTGCATAACATGACTTTTATGGTTTTTCCATTAAATACAGTATTTTTTTAGACGTAGTGAGCAAAAGCACAACGTAATATAAAGCTATTCTGCTGTAAACGTTTATGATAAACAGTTAACAGGGTCGGTTTGAACGGTAACGCCCGTTATAAATTAATTCCTAGTCAAAGTTTATCATCGTCCCACATTTTACAGGCGTTTTTTTCAGCATGATATTTATGATTTTGATTGGACGTGCCATCTTCTGAACGTTTGAAGATTTTCAGCAGTCATTTGATTTCGACGAATTCCTTACTTTTTTCCTTTTAATAGTTATTGATATTGGCAAACAACGTGGGCTAGACTGAGAGTTTTACCATTTCATGGGTCATGCAAAGGTACATTTAACAGATCCTATCGAATATTTTCCCATCTTAAAGGTTGTGTTTCGTATCTACTATCGACAGAGTTAAAACCCTTTGTTTAGATATGATATAATTTTTTATCATATATGCAACTCATTTTCAATGAGGATACTGGGACGAGGTAAGTGTTCCATAGGTAAGAAGAGGGATGCTGGGACGAGGTAAGTGTTCCAGAGGTAAGAAGGAAGACACTGGGACGAGGTAAGTGTTCCATAGGTGAGAAGAGGGATGCTGGGACGAGGTAAGTGTTCTATAGGTAAGAAGGAGGACACAAGGTAAGTGTTCCATGGGTAAGAACGAGGACACTGGGACGAGGTAAGTGTTCCATAGGTAAGAAGAGGGATGCTGGGACGAGGTAAGTGTTCCATAGGTAAGAAGGAGGACACTGGGACGAGGTAAGTGTTCCATAGGTAAGAAGGATGACACTGGGACGAGGTAAGTGTTCCATAGGTAAGAAGGAAGACACTGGGACGAGGTAAGTGTTCCATAGGTAAGAAGGGGGATACTGGGACGAGGTAAGTGTTCCATAGGTAAGAACGAGGACACTGGGACGAGGTAAGTGTTCCATAGGTAAGAAGGAGGACACTGGGACGAGGTAAGTGTTCCATAGGTAAGAAGGATGACACTGGGACGAGGTAAGTGTTCCATAGGTAAGAAGGAGGATACTGGGACGAGGTAAGTGTTCCATAGGTAAGAAGGAGGATACTGGGACGAGGTAAGTGTTCCATAGGTAAGAAGGAGGACAGTGGGACGAGGTAAGTGTTCCATAGGTAAGAAGGGGGATACTGGGACGAGGTAAGTGTTCCATAGGTAAGAAGGAGGATACTGGGACGAGGTAAGTGTTCCTTAGGTAAGAAGGAGGACACAAGGTAAGTGTTCCATAGGTAAGAAGGAGGATACTGGGACGAGGTAAGTGTTCCATAGGTAAGAAGGGGGATACTGGGACGAGGTAAGTGTTCCATAGGTAAGAAGGGGGATACTGGGACGAGGTAAGTGTTCCATAGGTAAGAAGGAGGATACTGGGACGAGGTAAGTGTTCCTTAGGTAAGAAGGAGGACACAAGGTAAGTGTTCCATAGGTAAGAAGGAGGATACTGGGACGAGGTAAGTGTTCCATAGGTAAGAAGGGGGATACTGGGACGAGGTAAGTGTTCCATAGGTAAGAAGGAAGACACTGGGTCGAAATACGTGTCCATTAAATAAGAAGAAAGGATGCCGGGACGAGGTAACTGTCCCATAAATAATAATAATGATAGTGACTCGATATAATTGTCCCATTAGTAAGAAGAATTATATTGGGACGAGATAACCATAGATGAGAAGGCGAATATTAGGAGGTAACTTTATCAGCGACTCGAAGAAGATGTTACTTTCCCATTGATACGTTACTGGGCGAG